TATTTAAGTCTATTATTAGTAAACAGTGATTTTTTAAAAACATGTATCTAACTATTGGACAAAAACATATTTCATATTTTATATATATCCACATATATATATCATATATATATCATGACTTTCTGGAAATGAACTGGGTTTCCTAGCACCACCGAAATCTTATCTTCTAAGTTAGAATCCTATTACTACACTGACCCCGAATGCTGGTTCTTCTAAAAAGAAAAAATGATTAAAAACATTTTAAAAGAATTTATCAAAGTTTTATTTTAAATGTATCATTCTTTGTGTCTTATGAAAGAAATACGTATGTATTATGACAATTTAAAAATATAAGCATGAAAAAGGAAATAATAATCATTTCACAAAAAAGATATCACCTAGATATAATCACTGTTAGAAGTCTGGGTTTGGGTTCCAGTAACAGTGAGGTAGCTTGAAATAACCTAACATTTTCACAGATAGCAAAAGACAAAACAAACAAACAAAAAATGATTTAAATGCACTGAAGAACAAGTAAAAGAAGGCAGATACTGAAGGGGAGTCAACCCTTAAAGAACAGACCCATAATGAATTAAGTCCAGGGTAGACAGCATTTCCTCTGACCCGTCTGCAAGGGGGAGAGCCAGCTGGAACTCAAGCAAAAAGCTACAATATTACTGACTGAGGTGTCAGAGTTTGGGATACTGAAGTGGCTGGAAGTCAAGAAGAGAAACCTAGAAAAACATGCATATAGACACCCTTCAAATTGTTGGCCAAACCTGGAAGTGTGCATCTGTGGAGGAGACTTCAAAGAGCCCCGTGGAAAGCATCAGCTGTAATATTCAAAGAACTGAGCAGAGATTCCTGCTGCTGCCCACTGCTGGGGAGACAGGAGTTTAGGGTTTGAATCCCATCAAAGAAAAGAAGCTTGGTAAATATCTTGAGCTTTCCATAGACTCATCTTTATAAAGGATAAAACTAAGCTTCCCCCAAGTTCAAGAGAATCGGCCAGAAATACATCTGCACACTAAAACAAAATGCAACACTCTTCAGGGGAAGACAATAAAATTCAGAATCTAGAAAGATAGGGCTTATAAACTAACAGACTGGCCACATCAGACATAGGTGAAAATAGCGAGCAACTAGAACTCTCATATAGTATGTGCTGGTGGAAGTGTTACAAAAGTACAATTACATTGGAAAAATGGCATTTTCCAAAATGGGTGTGAGTATAAGTCTTTACCCTATGATCCATCAACCTTCTCATAGGTTTCAGGATTTTAACCCAAGAAGGAACTAAATATATGTCCACAAAGAGTCTTGTAAAAGAATGTCTACATATGCTTTATTTGTAATGGTCCCGGACTGGAAATAACTAAAAGTCCATTAAAAGGACAATAGATGACCAGCTTGTAGTAAACACATATACACACACATACACAGTAAAGGTAGTATATATATATATATATATATATATATATATATAGTACATATATACATGTATATACTACAGTTTATATATAGAGAGAACATAAACTACTCTGCAATGAAACAGAATGAATGAATTACTGATATATGCAACAACATGGGTGAATCTCAAAATCATTTTGTTGACAGAAGAAAGCCATACACAAAAGAAGATACTGCATAATCCCATTTATAAGAAGTTCAAGAACAGGCAAAACTAAATCAGAGCTCAGGGGTGGGGACTAACTAGAAAGAGGTGTGAGAAAATATTCTATTTCTTGACTGGGGTGACAGTTACACGGGTGTCTACATGTATGAAAACTAATCGAACGGTACGTTTGAAATCTACACATTTCACTGTATGTAAATTTGCTCCCCCCCCCTCAAATGTCTGTGGTATATCCTTGCAGCCTTTTATATTTTTAAGAAAGATAAACACAACCCCTGACATCGAGGTGCCTGCTTGGCACTCCTAGTGCGGACAAAAAGTGTTGCCTGCCATTCCAGTAAACAAAATGTTGCCTAGCCACCAGCCACTGTAGCCACCCCTGGCCGTGTGGGGCACTCTGGGGGGAATTCAGGATGGAGAAAAACAGGATGCTGGCCCCAGATAGTGAAGATACATATGGAAGAAATCATTTCTATGAGCCTGGACTCTTGCACCTTCCCATACGTAGAAAAGCACTAAAATCGTTAACTTGAAATGTCTGTTTTTTTGTGATCAGCAGTAATCTTTTGATGTTCAACTGTATGATTTTTTTTTTTTTTCCAGCAAAAACTCCTATATATCCTGGCGCCTCCCTTGCCTCTTCGGAACAGTTCCTCAGAGCTACCTGAGAGGCTGTCTCCTGGGCTATATAGTCTTCAGTAAGGTTCCGGGATACAACATAACTCACAACTTTTAGGTTCTGTATTTCTCTTCAGTTGACAGCAGCTACCACACTTCGCTCTTCTGATGAACAGAAACAATTGCACAAACTTTAAGCCATTCTTAATAACAAACATTTAAGTGATCAAAGAAAGCCACTCTGTGACTATTATAAAGTCAAAAACGAGATCAATCCATAATCATGTCTAAATACTGACAAAAATCATGAATACTAAGTCAATAAAATGACCAAACATCCCCCAAACCTTACTAATTCTAGAGTCTGTTGCTTACTTACTAATTGCTGATTCAGCCTCAATGCATTCCTCTCGCCTCATAGAGGAGATTAAGGTCTCCAGTCATAGACCAGCCCCAGCTTTCTGAGAGTATCTTACCAACAAAGCAAAAGCTTGCTTCCTTGAACCTTCCCCCAAATCACATAACACAAACCCAAATGCCATAAATAGGTCCTTTCTACACTCTTTTACCCAGAATGAATGGCGTGTGTTCCTTCTAGTTGCCATAAGCAATAACTCAACTTGTTCCACTACAGGTGGAACACACCACTACACACCACTACAGGTGTGTTCCTAGCAGTCTTTGGCTAGAGATCATTGACACCATGTATACGAAGGGCGTTTTTAAATTTTTTTCACTTAATGTATCTTGAATATGGCTTTCTATGTCTTCATATAGTCTACATTATAGTTTTTTATGGCTACATAACTTTCTACTACTCGGATATGCTAGAATTTCTTTAACTAAGCCAATATTTTTCAGAAATCTAGTTTTTTTTCCTAATGTTTCACTATTATAAGCAGCCCTGATGAGCACTGAGCTGGTGAAATCTTTAAGGACCTTCACAATTATTTCACCGGGAGCAATTCCTTTAAATAAAATTACTGGAATTACTGGCTCAAGAGATATGAAACAATACTACATTGCACTCTTGTCTGAATATAAAAGCTACTGTAGGACAGACGGCACTTCAATCCACTTCAAACAGGCTACCATGCCCATTAACTCTCAGCTTCACTCTTACCAATTCTGCATCTTGTCAACTCTGATGGTCCTTTGTCCTCAACACACTAAACTTCTCAGCAGCATCTGACACAGGTAACTCCCCCTACTTGTTTAAATATGTCCTTACCTAGCTTCTGGGACACGACATTCACTTGGTTTTCTTCCTGTGCCACTGGCCCCTCCTTCTCAGTCTCCTTTGGTGGTCCTTCTTCTTCTGCCAGACTCTTCAACAAGGAGAGTGGCCCGGGCCCCCTACTTTTCCATCAAACTTTTTCACAAAGTGACCAATCTACACTCATGATTTTATGTTCCATTTTCATATTTGTGAATTTCATAATTAAATATCCTCCCCGGACCTTGCCACTGAGCACCAGAAACACAGACTTCACTACTTATCTAACACGTCCCTCCAAACCTCCCCTACCTCAGGGAATGACACCACACTCCACCCAGATGATCAGACAAAAACAAAAAACAAGGGAGGAAAAAAAAAAAAAAAAAAGCTATGAAGAAGAACCTGATAGTATGAAAAGTGACCCGGTTAGAAAAGACAAAGAGTGATTTCAAAGTGAGTGCTTTTATGTTGAACTTCTCTTGTTTCTCCTTCCACATTTCAAATCAGATAATGAAGTGACACACTTCTGGGTTTTGGTGTTAATATGTTGTTTATTCTGTTCTAATGAAAATAACGGAGTAAATGTATAAAATACACATTATAAGTTCATTAAGTCCTCACAAAAATCCCATGAGGTGCTATTAGTTCGTTTTTCCAGATGTGGACCAGTGGTAAACTGAGGCACTGACAGGCACCCAGAGGTACTGCTCATACCTTACACTGGCATTTTCCTAAAACATTTCACTTTTAGTGGAATGAAAAGAAAGAAAATTCCGTTCCTGAAATACTCTATGAATGCTAGGCCACAAAGGATCAACTCACTGTAACAAGGTACCAAAGTGTGTCTGGAAGCCATGCGTGATGCATAATGTATAATGCAAACCTAGGGCAGACTACAACCGAGGCCGGAGCAGCAAATCGAATTGGTCCCCACGCTTGCATACGTGTGCGTGTGCCTGGGAAAGAGGCAGACGAAGCCTTTGTCTTACACACGACCCCCAGAGACGCCGGCGCCCGCAGTCATGGAAGGGGCTTCCTGGACCATCTGGGTCGCGCGCGGTCGCGGGGCCCAGGACGCATGCGTGACCCAGGCGCGAGGCTGCTCGGCCGGGCGGCTGGGCGCTTACCTGGTGCGCCGGGCGTGCAGATACAGTACGAGCAGCAGCAGGGCCGCAGCGAGGACCAGGCCCGGGGGGCTGAGAGGCCGCGGCAGCCACGGCTCCGGCGAGAAGCTGCCCATGCCCGCGGCCACGTCTTTCGCCGTCCGGATCGCGCGCGGCCGCGGGGGGCGGCCCGGCGTGTCTCTCCGAGCTGCGCGGCCGACGAATCTGCAGCCGGCTGAGGGTCCCGGGAGGCTGGCCTGGCGAGGCGCCGCCTGAAATGTCACCGAGGGCCCCCGGGCCCGAGTCTCAAAGTTCCCGGACTCCCCTCCCCCGGCCCACCCCCTCCCCCCCCAACCCCTGCGCACCGCCCCGCTCGGCCACCGCCTCCCGCCTGGCCGCCTCTGGAAAACTGCGCGCCGCCCACCCCCGCCCCCCGCCCCCGGGGCAGGAAGAAGGGCTAGAGAAGAGGGGGAAAGGGGCTAGGATTTCCCGAGCTCGAGCCGCTGAAGGCCTGAGGGAAGGGGATTTCAGTTCGGAGTTGGAAATGAGTCGTTCGGGTGCGTCATCCCCTCGCCCGCGCCCCGCGACCGCGCTGGCCCTCGAAGAGGGTTGGGACTGTGCCCGCTGCGCCCTGGCCCCGGCGACCTCTTCGGCAGCCCCTTCCTCCCCGCCCCCAGCCGGCGGGCTGCCCGCGCGCCCGCGCTGCCCTTCGCGCGCGCCCGCGCCTGCTGGGCGCCCCTTCCACGCCGCGCTTCCCTGCTCGCCCCCGCGCCTGCTGGGCGCCGAGGCCAGTCCCAGAGGCCGGCAAGACAGGGACCAGAGCTGGGCCGGGACCCTCCGGGAGTCCCCATGGGACACACCATCCAGGAAGAGAGAAGACAGAGGAAACGAGCTATTGCAAAACGACGCTAAGGTACTACGACATAAGTGGTACAAGCCCCGCAGGTTGTCCTTAGAAAGGATGAGGGAGAAACTTTGAAAATGTCTTTTCCTGAGTAATGACCATTCACATTACTTCGCACGTGTGTATTTACTCTCCACACCAAACTTGGAACGTAAGTTTAGCAATGTATTAGAGAACATATAATGAGGCTCAGGTTAAGGTAACTTACCCTGGTCCCTCGGTTGATAAGTAATTAAAAAACATTCTAGGGCTTCCCTGGTGGCGCAGTGGTTGAGAGTCCGCCTGCCGATGCAGGGGACACGGGTTCGTGCCCCGGTCCGGGAGGACCCCGCATGCCGCTGAGCGGCTGGGCCCGTGAGCCATGGCCGCTGAGCCTGCGCGTCTGGGAGCCTGTGTTATGCAACCTGAGAGGCCCACGTACGACAAAAAGAAACAAAAAAAAACCAAAAACCATTCTAACCAAGGCTATTCCAGTGCCACTGTGTTCTTTCCTTTATGCAAGATTTTATTTGCGCAGTTCTCAAGACTATTAACAGCAGCTTCACAACTGGTCTCCGTACCTCCGACCTTTGAGTTTTCCAGCCCATCCTCTCCATTGCCACGTCCCTAAAGCACAGACCTATCCAGCTTTGACCCTGTTCGAAACTCTTACTGGTTGCCTTTGTGATAAAGATAAATCTTCATCCTGCAATGAGAAGCCTCCACAATTTGTCTCCATCCCATGGCTAGGACAGTTCCATATACAAGAAAGCTTGAGCCACAGTATCCCTCACAATCAGCCCTTTCACACCTTGGCTTATGACATTCTCTCTGCCTGAAAAAGTTTCCTCTCTCCCCTAAATACTAAAATTCTACCTGTCAATGCCCAGTTCAAATACCACTTCCTTCTAGAAATTATTCCTTACTCTTGTAATTAATCTCTCCCTCCTCTGTACTTTTAACACTGTCTCTGCTTTTCACTCCATCACATTTTCCCTCTCTATCTGAGTTATTTCTGTCTATGTCTGTCTGGCCTGCTATAGAAGGTGAGAATCATGTCTTAGACAACTTTGTCTGCAACCACTCTCCACCTCCTGTCGCCCTGGCCCCCGACCCTGGAGTTGAGGTACTGTAGTTGGAAGTACTTTGCATGTGCCTGGCCCTTGGTCCATGCTCCAGAACTGAATTACTGCTGTGTTGCTGTCCTTGGCCTTAAAGCTGTGAATGGCTGGGCAAGCATGAGAATTCTAATGTTTATGAGTTTCTTCATCTGACTTTTATTCCAGGGTTTTCTACTGCCTTTCCTTTCTCCTGTCATAGATTCAGTTTTCCAGGAAATCAGGGTACAGTGAGCCAACAGCTATTCTGTCTCCTCCAAGAAAAAGCAAATTGGTTTCCATCACTACCTGGCCAGCAGAGCCAGCATGCAGGATGGTATCCATGCCGTGCCTTTCTGTACCCACTGCAAAAAGCGCCTCTCACTAATTTTCACGAGAATCCTCAACTTTTATACTTTAGTTTTCCATTTGATCTCCTGGATGACTCTTCTCTTTGAAAATAGAGGTTAAAATGTTCAGCATTAATCAATTTGTTGAACATTTACCATGTGCCAAGCACCATGCTAAACATTTTATTTTATAACATTAATAACAGAAAACACCTGCAGTTAATCACAGTGTCTTATGTAGGTGGAAGGAAGAATACTACACTGTCACCTACTAGATTTGGTTAGCGACTGTGTCATCTCCCTATGGCATCTGTATAGTATCTTCCTTAGAATGCTTTATGGTATTCACTTAATAAATTTTGAATATATGTTTCTTTTGTGTTTTCCACTTCTGCTAAAAGGGGGCTCCATACTGTAAACTGACCTGGTTGAAATAAAATCTAAAGACCTCTTTTATTCCTCTTTTGCTTCTGTAGCCCAGTATCAGCATCATGATATTCAATCCAGTTCAATTTATTTTACCTCCAAAACGTGCCTTTATTTCCATCACTTCTCTGACAGAGATGACTAGTTGACCCTCCATGTCTGCTTCCCCCTCCTTCTCAGTAACAGGCCTCGATTTTTAACTGAGCACATGGCTGTCCATTATAAAGACTGCTTTCCCAGCCTTCCTTGTAGTTAGAAGTGACCATGCAACTGAATTCTCACCAGTAGGCTAAGTTTAAGGTGTTACTTCAGGGAAGTGGCCTAAACAGGAATGGTCGGGACCTTTGCTTCCTTCCTCTTTTCTGCTGTTTAGAATATAGACGCTATGCCTGGAACGCAAGCAACCATCGGAGCACATATAAGTATGTCCCAAATATTGCATTGAGTATTATTTGCTGTTTATACGAAATTCAAATTTATCTTGGGATTCTATATTTTTTTTTGGTTAAATCTGGTAACTCTCGTTTAATTTCAACACAGGGGTTCATAAGGCATACAGGTAAGGCAACTAAATTCTAGCTGCCCAATGGTCCCCTCCAGAAATCAGCCACAAATATTTCTTTCAACACTGGCTACCAATGTTAGTATCTTATGTACCTTGGCTACACGAATTAGACCAGGGTTAACAGTTCAGATCTAAAAGAGTCATGGGGTGGCCTTTATACTTTGAGGTATCCAGATGTGGAAATGTGTTCAGTACAGATAGCAACTGGCCTAATCATCTTTCTTCAGAAAATATTGGTTGTGAGACACACGGAGAGAGAAAAATACAAGCAAAAACAGAAGTAGGACCAGAGGGAGTAAAGGGAGAGCGTGATATACTGGAGTCTCTAAAGGAAGAGTTAGGAAAGTCTAGGTGACAGGTCACACTCCAAAGCCTTCCCCTTCAGCCCAGCTGACCCTCATCTACCAGGTGGTCTAAGCTGTCAGCCTCTTTCTTTGTTCTCGTTCTAGTCTATGATTAGGGCTTGAATTCTGTCCCTGTTGCCCTTGAGGCCTTCTCTTTTGAATCTAAAGAGCATGTTTGGAAGTCACCAAAATTTGAAAAATGACTATTTCCCTGCATTTCAACATCTGTGTCCTATGTCCTAATTCTCCTGCTCTGACTCTGTCGTTTTTTTCTTTTTCTTTCTTTTTTTTTTTTTTGACCGCTTGGCTGTGGGATCTTAGTTCCCCAGCCAGGTATTAAACCCAGGCCCTAAAACAGTGAAAGCATAGAGTCCTAACCCCTGGACCGCCAGGAGATGTCCAGTCGTGCTCTGACTTTGAAAATACGAATACACTGGATTGAGACCTCCAAGTCCACCTATTTTGTCAGTAACTTCTTTTAAGTGCAAATTGTGTCCATGGCACTATGTCTGGACTGCTGGAGCTATAAAAGTGAATGAGATGGCTCTTCCTTCAAAGAGATGGACCTAAAAGGACTAAAAGTGTTGACATTGGAAAGGAGAAAGAAAAGAGGCTAGTCCACATGAGATTGTGGGGTGAAAATGAAGGGATTTAAGAACATGCACCAATATGGCCACAATCTTGTGAGCTCCTGGGAAGCAAAAAATGTGCTGGGGAAAGGGCATCTTGTAGGCTTTAGTTATTGGGAAACATTTGAAAGTCCCACTGTGGAAATTGTCAAAGAGGAATTTTACACATTTTTTTTCTAATATTGGGAATTTCCTAAAAGCAGGTTTGAGTATTCAAGCCTGAAATATCCCATAACCTTTTGACATAAAATGTAGATTGGGTTCGAATCAGAACTTTAACTGAAAAGAATGACAGCTGTTGTTCTCCCCTTGCTCGTGAGCTCTGTCTTAACTAACTTTGACTTCCTATCCCCTTCTGTTAGAATTAAGACCACTTCTGGGCAAAATTGTGAAGCAGAGGAAGGGAAGAAAACTGAAAAGGATGGAGAGGACCTGCCATGGGCCAGGTACTGCTTCATGTTTTACACACACATTTTATTTAATCTTCAGAACCTACCTCTGATGTAGGCATTACTAGTCCTTTAGACATAAAGAAAACCAAGACTCAAAGAATTTCAGGGCACCCGTGATTATTCAGCTTGTACATTCCACTGTGCATTCATCCCTCCTTCCACAGTACCATCTTGCCTTCCTTAGATCTTTCTTTCGCTAACCCCTTACCACATCTGTTCAATCACTCTGGCCTCCATTTTTAGGGATCCTCTCTTTACCTTGAGCTGCCCATAACCGAGGCACCCCATGGAGACAGTTGGGCCTCTGCTTTATACCCTGGCCTACCTCAGAGCTACCTCACTAGCTCGGAGGCTAGTCTTGGCTTTCCCATCTGAAAAATGTTATAAGACTACTTTCCCTATAGGTTTATGAGGATGAAATTGTGAACAGTAAATATATGACAGTCAAAATGCCTGGGGCTTCTCCCTTTTTTTGCATTTGAGCACCTTCTGCTCCTTTGGCAGAGGGTATAAATAGAAATGAGTTTATCAGACAAGCTCGGCCCAACTAAGGTGTTAGCCTGTTGATGTATTACTTGTACCCAATTAAAATGTAAAATGTGCCATTTCTTGCTTGATCAAGGTAGCTATTCTGGTTGTAGCTAAGATAGCAATGATGGTAAATATATATATATATCCTGAAACCTGAGACCTGCTGTTAGCATTGTTTAATCGGCACATAGTGAATACTGAGGCACCTTAGACACTGGCCCTGAACCTGACCAAAAATATCTTAAATCACAAATTCTTCCTCTTATTCTGTCTTTCTTTAAAATGTAAACAATGCACTTCTTTTCTCTTTAGTTTCCCTTTCTCCTAAAAAGCCAATTTATAAGTGTTGTCCTAGCACTCAACTTACACATACAGACATGGCAGGCAGGAATGCTTATTCGATAAAATGCTGTTGAATGAACAGAGTGACCCAACAATAGAGAGTGTTGTTACATTTAACTCTTTTTCTTAATAAAGTACAATTTTAGGTAAGGCCTGAATATAATTATTTTGAAGCAGCTTTAAAAATGGTGGAACAGATGGCTCTGATTATCTCCAAGAGGAAGGAAAAGATTCAAGAGTTTTGTCATTTCTTGTTTAATAGTCTTGGCATTACTTATACATACTTGAGTTTTGAATACACTGGCTTATAAATTCACAATCCCATGCTAACCCTTAGTTCATACTCATGATCTGACCCTACTTCCCATGCCAAGATTTGAGACTCTCCATCTCTGTTTCTGATTCACTGGCTTTTCCAACATTTCATTTCCTGATTAGCCACTGAACCCAGATTTCTGAGGACAGAAAGCACAAGGATCCCCACAAACTTATCCCCCAGCTATCTCTGTTCACTAAGGGAGAATTTTAGACTCAAAAACTTCTTTTGGGGGTGGGGGTGGAAGGTTTGGGCCAGGCTGGTTCCTGGAGAAGCAACAAAAGCCCTGGTCTGGAATAAAATCTACCCACCAGGTTCTGCTGTTTCTGCCTGTTACAGGAGAGGTTTTGGAAAACAGACTCAGAGAGAGACAGACCAGTGCAGGACTACATTAGGACAGAGTCTCAGGATCAACACCAGGGGTTGAAACTGACAGAGGGAAGTATTGGGTTGGGGTGCAGTCTCATCCAAAGACTCGGCCCATGAGGATATTGAGAACCCAGGCGGCCCTTTAGAATTACCCCAAGATGGGGTGAAGGTCCAGGCTTTCAGATCTCAATATCAACATGCCTTTGGTTGTGGACTGCCCTCAGGATAATGGAAAGCTGAGGGTGACCTTGGAGAGCAACTCTTCTTTAGCTGAAGGCAATTCCTGGAGCAGCTGGTGACACTCCCAGAAGCGGAGCGCATAGGTTCTCCCATCCTGCCAGAATCTGAGCGACACAACACAGTGACCACTAAATACACAGTGTCCACCACATACACAGTGTCCACCACGTACACAGTGTCCACCACGTACACAATGACCACTACATACACAGTGTCCACTACATACACAGTGTCCACCACATACAGTGTCCACCACGTACACACTGACCACTACATACACAGTGTCCACCACATACGCAGCGACCACTATGTACACAGTGTCCACTATGTACGCAGTGACAACTACATATGCATAGTGTCCACTATGTACGCAGTGACCACTACATAGTGTCGCTATGGTGCCACAGAAATGTATCAGGGCAGGTAGCGCATAGATGGTGATGAGTCTTGCATTCATTCATTTTGTAGTAGTTCTCTTTCTCACTAGCAGAACCGTAGTAACACTAGCCTCTCAGCTTCTGAGATACAGCAGTCATGTTTATTAAATGATTCTAATGTTAAAGAAAAAATTTTTAGACTACAGTACACCACCCTTATCTGCAGGGGATACCTTCCATGACCCCCAGTGGATGCTAAAAATGACAGATAGTACCAAACCCTATATTTGTTTTTTCCTGTACAGACATACCTATGATAAAGTTTAATTTATAAAGTAGGCACCAGAAGAGATTAATAACAAATAACAAAATAGAACAATGATAATAATATACTGTAATAAAGGTTATGTGAAAGTGATCTCTCTCTCTCTCTCAAAAAAAAATCTTATTGTGCAAATTTAATGCCTTTTCCATCTTAACTAAGCACTTATCCTGCACCTTGGCCATAGCTTTTGCAGACGGAGGTGCGACAGCAAACCTAGCACCAATTTATTTTTCATTCTGCACAATTTCACAGACAGAAGATTTGTTCTTACCACAGATCTTAGCAACCTCAGCATACGATTTTTTTTCTTTCTTTATTAAGTGAAGAACTTTCACCTTTCACCCTTAAGACTTCTCTTTGGCATCTTGCCAGGATCACTACTCTTGCACTTTGGGGTCATCATGAAGTAACATAAGAGTTACTTGAATACAAGCACTGTGATACAGCACCAGTCCATCTGATAACCGAGAGGGCTACTAAGTGACTAACAGGCAGGTTACGCTGAACAAAGGGGCGGTTCACATCCCAGGTGGGATGGAGCGGATGGCGTTAGCTTTCATCACGCTACTCAGAATAATATGAACTTTAAAACGTATACATTGTTCATTTCTGGAATTTTCCATTTAATATTTTCAGACCACAGTGGACTGAGGGTAACTGAAACTTCGTAAAGTGAAACCATGGGTAAGGGGGGGACTGGTGTGTTTATGAGTCAAAAATTTATTACAATATTGCAACAGGAAAGCCTCTAGGAGGTCAGTTCAAACATTTACTCTGATTAGAAACACTATAGAAAGAGAACGTCAGCTAACCACTGTTCAACTCCTGGCTGATAGGGGACAGTCGATGAGGGTGTTGACTCAAGTCCAAACCCATGAAATTTTATCAGAAAACCACTTAAGCATGTTTCAGGAATGCTAAGCTCTTTCCTTTCACTAGGCAAAATTTCTGCTGCAGACGAGGTTGGGGACAATTTTTGTTTTACATTAACTAGCTACATTTTGTTTATTCAGTCTATCACGGTGACCATTCCTTCACAGAGCCCCACCCCTCTTATCTGGCTGGTTGCAACCTGGATTCATGGGAAGTCCTTCAATACCCACACCTTTCTTTACAGACTAGAGAAGACGCCATTCGCTCTTTATCCCCCATTCCTATCTGACTCCTCAGTGTGTGAACTCTGTTCTCAGATTGCTCCCCACCTTCCACTTTCTTGTCCAAGGCTCAACTGGAAAATGACCAAATTCATTCCCTCAAGGTTTTCTGAAGCTTTTTTCTCGTTTCCTCCTCCAGTTTTCTGATCACTAACATTCCCACGGTTGATCCATTCCCTTCCCCTTTCCTCTCTGAAGTCTGGCATTTTCTTCCACCAACAAAGAGTGCTACATTTTGACATTATGAAAGCAATAAATACTAGCAATTATACGTTTGCTGGAAGTTTTGAATATTCTTATTTATGAGCAAACATTGCACTAACGCAAGAAGAAATTAATTGATTTGTAATGATTCTGAAAAAAAGTCTGATTTTCTGCTTGCTGGGGTTCAGCTATAACTCAGATGGGTATATAAGACAACATCAGCCAGCGACTTCCAAAAATCACATGTGCAGGATCTGTTTTGATCCTAGAACAACTGATAACCAGAGGCAACTCTGTACTTTCACTTGTTTCTGCAAGAAACCCAAACACAGCAGGCACTGAAGCCTCTGCTACAAATCTGTAAGAGACCACATTGTACAGAACATAAGGTTCCACACAAAATAACCTCAACGTTTTATGTTCCCCTAGTCCTCTTGGACTGCATTGCAGTTGGAAATTTCTTTCTCTTCCCCCTGACAGAGTCCAGCCTCTCCAGTTCTACTTTCCCTCCAGAATTTTCCTCATCAAATATCAAATGTCTCCTGATTTTGTAAAGCAAAGCAATTCAACTCACACCTTTTTTTTTTTTTTTTTTTTTGCGGTACATGGGCCTCTCACTGTTGTGGCCTCTTCTGTTGCGGAGCACAGGCTCCGGACGCGCAGGCTCAGCAGCCATGGCTCACGGGCCCAGCCGCTCCGCGGCATGTGGGATCTTCCCGGACCGGAGCACAAACCCGTGTCCCCTGCATCGGCAGGCGGACTCTCAACCACTGCGCCACCAGGGAAGCCCCAACTCACACCTTTTATTTGAGCAAACCACTCTCATGTCAAGAAGCTATAGAAAAATTTCTTCTGAACAATGAGCATAAATATTTTCAAAATATAATTATCATCATCAACAATATCAATTTAAAAAATTTAAAAAGCAAAATTAACTATTCTCTCTTTCAAGAATGTAAATAAATGTTAGGGAAATTAGAGAAGAATGTTGTCCCCTCCCTCCCATTCTTAAAGGTGCTCTAATGACAGTGATTGGTCACTTAGAATGTCTGTGGATGGACACATATTAACATGAGCCCCTTCTGAATTTATAGGTGTCTCAGAGAGTCCTATTTAGAGACAGATGTCTTTTCTCT